TAATTTCTTCTCTAAGTGTGGATTATTTATCTTCTTTTCTTGAGGGGACACACTCCTGGGAGAAGGTCGCATTCTCTTCACTGAGCTTTCCTACCTGAGTGTTCCTCTAATTCAAGGAGGCTTCTTCTTAGATGGAGAGGATGTCTATGCTGGGTTTTTTTGGGGGGATCAGAGCTGTCCTATAGAACTTACTGTAATGATGGAACTATTCTGCCCATTCAATATGGTAGCCACTAGTCATATGTGACACTGAACGCGTTTCAAGTGTTCAGTTAATTTTAATAAATGTAAATAGCCATATATAGCTAGTGACTCCATTTTGTGTGGCAGAACTTTAAATGATGACCTTAGGAGAGTAAAAATTTCTGTTTAACCAGCATTTTCTGGTTATTGTAGCAGTAGTTATGGGTCTTCAGTGGTAAGTGATGAGAATTTGTGATTTTGAATTCCATACTGAATTTTTAGATCATTTGATAAAACATCTCATTGACGGCTTTAAAGTTATATTTACTTCCTCCTATAAAACTTATTATATTTTATTATCCTTAGTTTGAGTCATAACTAGGGACAAGGGACTGAATACTAGAATGAGTGGATCATTGCTCTGAATCACTTTATCCCAAAGCCCTTAGATTTATGGTGCTATGATTAATATCCAACTTAAAATTGTGACTAGAAAAGCAGTTGTCCTTGTTGTATTCCCAGGGGCAGCCCAATGAGTCAGCACTGCTGGTTTATCCCAGGGGACCCTCCCCTTGGGAAAGGAGAAGACCTTGTAGGAAATGGCCTGAAGCTCTCTAAAAGAAAGAATGACCCAGGGTTAGCCTAAATCTGAGGGATATCATGGAAATAGTGCGAATGTAAGTCTACAAAGTGCCTTCAAAAAATAGAAGAATTTTGGAAAAGCAGAATTCTTGCCATTCAAAAATGTTTGCTTGACTTTGTTCGCTCTAACACTTTCTACACATACAATTTCTGGATCTGTTATTAAGTGAGATGTGTTTTACAATTTGAAATTCCACTCAGTAACTGACTACAATGATAACAGGTTAAATAGTCATGGTACCATTTAATGAGTTTTCTTCTTCAAAGATAAAAAGACCTTTTAAGTGGTTCTCATGTTTGTCTGCTTCAATTGCATCATGATTGTTCTCATTTCAGATCATCCATATTTTGTTGGTGTCCAATTTCATCCAGAGTTTTCTTCTAGACCAATGAAGCCTTCCCCCCCATACCTGGGACTGTTACTTGCAGCAACTGGGAACCTGAATACCTACCTGCAACAGGGTTGCAAACTGTCTTCCAGGTAACCAGCTTACTGCTCTGAGCAATGACCCAAGATGAACAGTTACTAATATCTTAGGTTTCTTACAAAAGTTAATATCATAATAGAATTTTTTAAAAGTGAAGAATCAATGTTTTTCCTCTTAAACAGAATCTTTTTCTTTTAATGAAAATAATTTAATCATGCCTGCAACAGTAATGTGTCAGCTTTCCAAATCATGCTGACATTATGTATGATTTCAGAAATTTTTATTATTTTGATAAGTGAAAAATGAGACTTCCTTTTGTCGATTTTTGGATTAATACATGTATTTAAATGTCTTATATGTTTATTGGCTCTTTGTTTTATGAGTAGCTTGTTCACATCTCAGGTTCTTGTCTTCATTTTGCTAGTGTATTCTTTTCCTGATTGGTAAGTTCTTTATATATAAAGGACATTAATCCTTTGCTAGGTTGTAAATATTTTTCAAAGCAATTTTGCTTTTCTTCTAAGTTGTTAATGGTAGGTTTTATTCTCCCTAAAGAGTTTCAGAGAAGGACTTTGTGTAATCCTTCTTTACATTTTTAAAAAGTTGATGTAGTCATAAAGGTACCAGATCTCAAACCAGGCCAAGTGGAGACCAAAGGGAGGCCCAAAATTTAGCTGTACAATACCACTTATACCTAATCCTGAATTGTACCCCACATCTTTAAAATTAAAAATAAATAAATAAGCCAGGCTCGGTGGCTCAGCCTGTAATCCCGCGCCTTGGGAGGCTGAGGTGAGTGGATTGCCTGAGCCTGCTGGTTTGAGACCTGCCTGGGCAACTTGGTGAGACCTCATCTCTACAATAAATCAAAAAACTAGACAGGTGTGGTAGCACACACCTGTAGCTCCAGCTACTTGGAAAGCTGAGGCGGAAGGATCGCTGGAGCCCAGCAGGTCGAGGCTTCGGTGGCCAGGAGCACCCACTGCACTCCAGTCTGGGCGACAGAGTGAGACTCCAACTCAAAAAAAATTTTTTTTAAATAAATAAGTAAATAAATAAATAAATAAAAGAATGATGGTAACATTAAAAAAAAGTTGATGTAGTTAAATCTTTGACCTTTGTGAATTTTTACCTTTAGTATCATGCCTAAAATCTTTTCCTATGACAAGATCATATAAATAATAACCCCTCTGTTTTCTTCTAGCATGTTTATTGTTTTGATTTTATAATTTAAACCTATAATCTATGTAGACTTTATTTTCAGTGAAATGTGTGATTCCTCCCCCTCCCCCTCCTGCAGCCAAATTGCTAGTGAGTTGAATAATTTGGATTTGGTTCAGAGATTTCTATTTTGTTCCACTGATGATTTTATCTATTACACCTAAGCCTTTACCACCCTTTTCATTATCATCACATTATTGTAAATCAAGATCTTATCTGCCCTACTCCCATCATTATTAAAAGTTGTTCCATATTTTGTTATTCTTCCTGGTGAACTGTGCAATGATTTTAAAAATCAGATTTGAGTAAAAAATCCCATAGGAATTTTTATTGAAATTTTATTTCATTTACATATTAATTTGGGGGGAATTTATCTTTACTTCTCATCAAAGAATATTATATATCGTAACCTTAAAAATGAAAGGAACAGCCGGGCTCGGTTGCTCAGCCTGTAATCCCGCGCTTTGGGAGGCTGAGGTGAGTGAATTGCCTGAACCCACAGGTTCGAGACCCTCCTGGGCAACTTGGCAAGACCTCATCTCCACAATAAATCAAAAATTAGCCGGGCGTGGTAGCATGCGCCTGTAGTTCCAGCTACTTGGAAGGCTGAGGCGGAAGGATTGCCAGATCCCAGCAGGTCGAGGCTACAGTGGCCGGGAGTGGTCACTGCACTCCAGTCTGGGTGACAGAGTGAGACTCCAACTCAAAAAAAAAAAAAAGGAAGGAATTAGCCAGAGTATCATAGACTTAGGTAGGAGTTATTACTACAATGACTGGATATATGCTGTTTAGATTCCCATTGCCAACCCCCATTCTAGTATCAACTCTTGCAGTGTAGCAGTTGAGGGCTGCCAGGATCTGTGCCTGGTGTGTATGTGTGTGTTTGTGTTACACAAGCCTACTTATTTGTGACTTTAGTTTCTAGGAGAAGCTCATAGCTCTCTAGTATCTCTTTTCATTGTGTGTTCATCTGGGAACAGCTTTTCATATTTTGCATGAGAGGTGTCTTACTGAATTCATGATTGCTCCTTGAAGTCTTCAACCAGTATACTGACTTTCAAACTGTGCCCTTGGAGCTGGAGTCTGGGCAGGCTGAGGGAGCTCTGGGTTCTTTCCTGCTTCAGGAGAGCAACTCTGCTTTATCTGGCTCATGTGTCATTATTCTGCAAGAGATTTAATCTGAAGAAGTGCTTCCTGTGTTCTGAGGCTGCATGGCTTATGCAGCAGATTGGACATTCCAGTGTCATCCTATATCAGATGCAAACTGTGACCCTTTATAATCCCCATTATTTCAGGTTCTTACACTGAAAGGAGGGTGACAGTGGGACAAGTTAGATGGCTGGGATAAATAATTCACTTATAACCATCTGGCTATTTGCAAACACCAGCTAATATATGGATGTTGTATATTTTGTGTGAACTGCCCACCTGTGTGCTGTATGGCTTACCAGTTCTTGTGTGGAGGCTGGTGGTCTCTTGGTAAATCTCCCCAGTAGTTTCTGAGAAAACTGACTGATTGCTAGCAACTCCTGAGCAGGATACAGTATGTCTTGGAGAGAAGGAAAGACCTCTTAACCAAACTCTGATACTAGCATTGGAATTACAGATGACACGTAGGCTTCTGTGAGTCCATTTTGCATTGCTATAAAGGAATATCTGAAACTGGGTAATTTATAAAGACAAGAGGTTTATTTGGCTCACAGTTCAGCAGACTGCACATGGAACATAGTACTGGTATCTGCTTCTAGTGAGACCTCAGGAAGATTATAATCATGGCGGAAGGGGAAGAAGAACTGGCATCAGAGAGGAAGCAAGAGAGAGAAAGGAGGGACCAGGCTCTTTTAAGCAATCAGTTCTCATGTGAATAGGGCGAGAACTCACTCATTATGGTGAGGGCAGCACCAACTATTTATGACAGATCCACCCCCATGACCCAGACACCTCCCACTAGGTCCCACCTCCCACATTGGGGATCACATTTTTTTTTGTTCTGCTTTTTGGGAAGTCTTTTTTAAAAGATTAATTGTATTTTAGATTCAAGGGGTACATGTGCAGGTTTGCTACATGGGTGTATTTTGTGATGGTGAGATTTGGGCTTCTATTGAGCCCATCACCCAAATGGTGAACATAGTACCCAATGGGTAGTATTTCAACCCTTGCCCTCCTTCCTCCCTCCCTCCTTAGGAGTCCTTAGTATCTGTTGTTTTCATCTTTATGTCCATGTGTTTAACTCCCATTTATAAGAGCATCGGGATCACATTTCAATATGAGATTTGGAGGTGACAACATCCAAACTGTATCAGCGTCCATGGTAGTGAGAGAATTCCTGTGTGTATCAACCACAAATGTGTGCATTCCTTAAAAGCAGCCAGCATCTTATTTATCTTTGTCTCCCTGGCTCTCTCGCACACAGAGGTTGTTTATTACCCATTAAAGTAATAAATGCAGGTAGTAGGGGAGGATGGATGTAGTCTAGTCTAATCTTGACACACTGCAGGGGATTCCAACTAAGAATGGTGACATGGTGACTATGAATTAATCCAGCAGCAGATACCAGGATTCCAAAGGAACCTTGCGCTTCAACTCCTCTCTGCCCAGCTTCATGGGATTAGTGAGCTTTGAAAAGCAAATGACTGCTTTGATGCCAGACTCTAATGTGAGCAGAGCTGGGTCTGTATTTCTGTCAAACAAGGTTACAGCTTGTAATCAACCCTAAACAAATGTGACAAGGAATATGAACACTAGAATAATGACTTCCTTTCCCAGAAATTGGCTCTGATGATATTCAACTGTACGGCACATATACAACCAATATCTTTAAAGCATGGAGTATAAAAATCCTTAGGTTTGGGTAAGTATACCTGAGCTATACATTCTGCCTTGTGGAGAACATTTCTCTTTTAGCACCTGGGAAATTGCAGTAAAGAATATTCTTTTGAGATTTACAGCTGATGAGCTAAATTCTCAGCTACTTGGTTATCTACAGAATGACGGTCATTAGGAAGACCAATTCTACCTAGTTTTAAACTTAGAGTGGTCTGTTTAAGAGAATAATAGTTTTAGGGCAGTATTTTTTAGGTTTTTGTGAGCTACTCAAAAAGACAAGCGAAATCAAACTTAAGAGTCTTGTTTCGGGGGTTTCCCCATGACCACTCACACATTTGGTGATTTGCTAGAAGTAATCAGAATATAGTTGTACTCACAGCTAATATTTATTACAGTCACACAGTAAGCATGTCCAGCAGGATCAGTAATAGAACAGATTTCAGTGGAGTCTGGAGAAATTCATTTGCAGGTTTCTTGTGCTCGCTCCCTCCTATGATAAGTCACATAGCAGTCACCCTCTTTCCAGCAGTGAAAATGCAACAGTGCAACGTGTGATGCCTACAGAAGCCTGTTTGAGAATTAGGGTTTAGGGATGGGGGGGTTGGTGGCAAGTCACTTTGCCTAGCAACCACTAACATTCCAGACTCCCAGAAGAAAAGCAGGTGTTCACCATGAATCACATAGTTTGCACAAACAACCTAGGTCCAGCGGAACGACCTTATCAGTTAGTAATGGAACACACATTCTGAAAGCTACATTTCCAGACAGCAGCCAAGGACTAACTTGGCAAGCACAGCCTTCTTAAGACAGCAGCCTCAGGCCTGCTGTGTTAACTCTTTTTTTTACACAAGTCTAACTAGTAAACCACTTTGAGAATAAATAAATCAAATGGGAAATGATTGTCCATTAAGGAAATCATTGTAATTCTTTGCTGATCTCTCTCCTCTGGTATCCAAACATAATTTATCCCATATATAAAAGGTAGCCACAAATTTACATGGTCTTG